AGGATGACAACAGACCTACTTTAACACAGGGAGCAACAGAGGAGAGAAGGGAGGGCCTCCCAGGATGTTAAAGAATGCTGGCTAAAAGATTTAAGGATTTCAAGAACAAAGAGACTAGAAGACAAGCTTCCAAAAAAAATTTTTCGACCTTAAAATTTCCAGAAGTTTGAATGCTTCTTTTTAACTAGGTCGGGTAGGGGAAGACCTAGAAAATAATGTTCATCCAAGCTTACACTTGTTCTGCAGAAGAGCACCAACAGATGCGTTACCAGTTGGAAACCATCATACACGACTATAGTCGTTAGTCACAATATACACCTATTCAGAACCTAAAATGTAAAAATCCCATATCAAAGGTCATTGATTAACATGACAGGGTTCACAAGTCTGAATAATCCACCTAAAAGTAGAATAAGTTTACCATGGTTAATATAAAAGAATCAATGAGATCACTTCATGGAACTGACACAGCCGTTCCCAGTTGTGCCTACAAAAATTAAATCCAAGATAAGAATGGTTTGCTAAGACAAACATGCATATGTGGAGTAAACTAGATGGTAAAGGTATAGTGATAGGCATAAACAGCAGTGATAGCACAAAACATAAAGCAGTTATTCCATGTCACAGAAAATTAAGTGACGCATATAGTTCAAAATGCAAACAATCCCAGTATATTTATTTAAAGAGTAAATGGGTCCGCTACTAACACATCCCTCAATATAGCAATACTTCAACATGTCTTTTGAAGAATATTCCACCCATCTCTCTGACAAATTGCGAGAGATTCCCTCCCAATTACAGCTTGATTATTTGATTATTTCTATATAGAAGCCATCCCTACAAAGAAGAAGATTCACAAATCAAAATCCAGTTTAAAGAAAACCATACTGCATAAGCCGCTGAATGGAAATACACTAAAATGGACAGAAATGCCAACCAAACACACACACACACACACACACACACACACATATATTCTAAGAACACACAGAAGGCACTAATTTCATGAAACATGTAGCAATAGCAAATATCAAGGCTGAAAATACAAGTAAGCCATCTATCCAGCACATATAAAAAATTTTACATAAATATTGGTTGCACCCTGAAATACCACCAAAGAATAGCAGTAAGACATTAATCAATTTAAGTTGGTAGTTTGATAGAATCTCTTTTATGCAGTTCTATCTAATTAGAGAAGAATACTAGTATCTAATTTCTCTTACAATGAATGTAAAGGAGTAAAACAGTAATGTAAATGGCCTTGTCAATGAGGAGAATCTATATTGTAATGGTAAAAGAAGAGATTGGGGCAAAAACATTAGGTTCCAAATATCAGACGGTTGTGTCAAGACTACAACCCATGTAATGGCCCATAAAAAAGAGCAACACTGTAAGCACCATAAGTTCTCCTTTCCTCTTTTCTCTATAACCGAACAAAGATCCTAGTAAACAAAGACCATCAATTTTCATACCATGAAAATCCTAGTAAACCCACAACAAACAACATTCAGAACTCAAATCCAACCAACCAAAAAGATACTTTTCACATCAACTAGCTCAATAGACAAACAACACCAAAACTCAGTCAAACCCCAATTACTCATCTATAATATGCAACTAGCTAATTAACTAAAAGGAGCCCATGAATCCATGATAGTTTTAGGGAGGGCATCAACACGGTCAATCGTAACATTCAAGAGAATTAGCAATTTAATGATCAGTAGAATTAGCAGTACCACTAGGTTCTCACATAAAATTAGGGAAGCATAACATTGTACTGTAATTCTGTAAACTTAATGTTGCAATTCTATAACGATTAATATCAGATAAAAGTAGACATGCTGATTTGAGATTTGAAAATATTTAAAAAAAAAGAAAAAAGAAAAAAAAAAGAGAAGATAATCGAATTACAAAGCTTCAAAACACGAACCAGAGACAGAAAGAAATTAATTGTAGTAGAGCTCAAGGCCCATGCCGTCATGAATCTCGTAGTCCTTGAGCGTGATGTGATCCTTGTAGATGTTATACCACTTCTGGATCCTTATCTTATCGGCTCTGGTTCCAGTCTGAGCCGCCACCAACTTCTTGAGGTCGCCGATGGTATCGTCATCGTTGCACTTCACCCGCACCTTCTTCCCGAGCCTGTCGTTCAGCACCACCTCGATCATCTTCGCTCAAGACAGACAGATTTCTTTCGCCCTAGAATTCGCAGAGAAGGTAGAAATTGCTGGCTGCGATTGCCTTTATTCTATCTGCTGCGATTATGTTGAAGCTTTCCGCACGGGACGGTATTTATACTATCTTTATGGTGATAGGATTCTGGAAATTTCCTTTCCTCGTCCTTTTGATACGCGGAATAATTTGCATTTCGAATTAATGATTGACACGTGGTTCTAAAGGATTTTTCAGTCATATTCGTATTTCCACTGAAAGTCACACACGTGGTCGTCGATGGTTGGCTTGTCATCCAAATTATATAGGCAATGTCTTTCTTAAAAAAAAAAAACT